CAGGGAAGGGAGTCTCAGAGGCAGGGAAACGCCAGCAGTCAGTAGAAGTTGGGCCAACTACTGACGAGACTGCCTGCTCGCCCAACCGCACCGACCCTCACCGAGTCATAGTACCGATTCACGCCATCGATCGGGCTCGGATGAATAAGGAGGGTACAGCGACGGATTGCCCAGTACTGATCCACGGGAAAATACAGGGAGCAGCAGTGAAGATTTTTATCGACGGAGGAGCAAGCCACAGTTTAGTTAATACCGCAACCGCACGAAAACTGCAGCTGACACTTAGTCGTTGCTTACCGGAGATAGACGCACGCTTAGTCGACGGCACGCCACTGGCCATACGGGAAAAGGTAGAGAGAGTCAAAGTCCGCTGCGGGGGAAATTTCGGGTTTACACAGGAAATGCTCGCAACGACACTGGATGGGCACGATATTTTACTGGGACGTGATTGGCTGCGACGATATAACCCGCGAATTGACTGGACGACGGGTAGCTGTACCGTGCGAAGTAGTGGTAACTGGGTCGAGCTACCTCGCTGGCAGTCGCCCGAGTCTTCAACGGTACACGTCAACGCTATCACAATGAAACGGGTTGTCGCTGCTGGAGCTGACGTGTACGCAGTAGACATCGCAGTAGTAGAGGAAGCAGAGCAGCCGAGCGATTTTCAGAAACTGTTGGCAGCAGTACCGCCCGAACTACAGGAACTGTTGAAACGGTACCCGGGGATTTTTCCAGACGACTTACCGGAAGGGCTGCCACCTCAGCGGGCGCATGATCATAGGATCGAGTTAGAACCGGGGGCACAGCCAACTGTACAGCGCCAGTTCAGACTGACACAGCCCGAGCTCGACGAACTAAGGAAGCAGTTAGATTACCTGTTAGAGAAAAAAATCATCAGACCGAGCTCGTCACCGTTCGCCGCACCGATACTATTCACGCCGAAAAAAGACGGGGGTTTTCGCATGTGTATCGACTACAGAGCACTGAACAGGGTAACAGTCAAGTCGCGGTACCCAATTCCCCGCGCCGACGAACTGATCGACCAACTGCGAACAGCACGGGTTTTTTCGAAAATAGATTTACGGGGAGGTTACCATCAGATTCGGGTCGAACCATCGGACTGCGCCAAGACAGCATTTAGGACTAGGTACGGGTCGTTTGAGTACACGGTGATGCCTTTCGGGCTGACCAACGCGCCCGCAACATTTCGGATGACCATGAACGAGGCGTTTAGGCCACTCTTAGATAAATGCGTGATAGTTTACATCGACGACATCCTCGTCTACAGTCGCGACAAGCAGCAGCGCTTAGCAGATCTGGAAGCAGTGTTTAAGGTTTTAGACGAGCACAAATTACTGACCAAGGGTTCCAAGTGCGAGTTCTTCCAGGATAGGTTAGAATTTTTGGGGCACGTTATTTCGGAGGCTGGAGTTGAAATCGACCCAAAGAAGCTGGATACGGTAAAAGCGTGGCATCCCCCGACGAACATCACGGAACTGCAGAGCTTTTTAGGGTTCGTCAATTATGTACGTCGGTTCGTCCCCGATATGGCACGGTTAACTGCCTCACTGACGGACTTACTGCGGAAGGGGGTCGCTTTTACGTGGGGGGAGAAAGAGCATGCTGCCTTCTCTGCCCTGAAAAATGTTCTCTGTTCCCCGCCCGTCCTGCGCATCGCCGACCCACACCGCCCATTCGAAGTAGTTACCGACGCAAGCGATATCGCCATCGGAGCCGTACTGCTACAGGATTTCGGCAATGGCCTACAGCCTATCGCATACGAGTCACGAAAACTGCATCCGCCCGAGAAAAATTACCCGATACACGACCGCGAACTGCTTGCGATCGTGCACGCGTTCAAAGTATGGCGCTGTTACTTGACTGGCGCGGACGTGACAGTACGGACAGACCATAAATCACTACAGTACCTTCGTGCACAGCCACACCTCAACCCACGACAGATTCGCTGGCTCGATTTCCTCGAGTCCAACTTTCACTATACGGTCACTTACAAAAAGGGAGCCTCGAACATCGCCGACGCACTGACCCGCCCCACTGCCCAGATCCACGCAATACTACTCGCCCAGACAAGCCCGCTACTGACAGGCCTATTCACCCACGGGTACCAGACGGATCCATTCTTCATAGGAGGAAATTCGCAGCAGTTCGCAGCAGCAAAGGGAGTCTATTACGTAAAAACCGGGACTGATCGCATTTGGGTACCTGGGTATACACTGCTACGGGAATTACTATTACAGGAGGCACACAACGGAGTTACTTCGGGGCATTTCGGAGTAGAAAAAACACGGCAGCAGCTGCAGCGGTATTATTACTGGCCCGAAATGTTGACCGACGTGCAGCGGCATGTGGCATCGTGTCCCACTTGCCAGATCATGAAGTCAACACGGAAGCGGCCGGCGGGACAGTTGCAGCCAATCCCACCTCCAGAGCGTGCTTGGCAGCAGGTGACGATGGACTTCGTCACGGGGTTACCGGCCGGGGCGAGTGGAAATGATGCGATCCTGGTCGTCGTCGATCGACTGACGAAAATGGCACACTTCGCAACCTGCAAAAAATCAATCACAGCCGAAGAAACAGCCCGCCTCTTCATCTCTACCGTCGTTCGACTGCACGGGATACCAGCATCAATCATCAGCGACAGAGACACGAAATTCACCAGCAACTTCTGGCGGAACCTGTGGCAGCAGTTCGGCACGCGACTACAGTTTAGTTCATCGTACCACCCCGAAACAGACGGACAGACAGAACGGACAAATCAGACCATGGAACAGCTCATCTGGGCCACGTGCGACGACCCAAGCACGTGGGAACAGCAACTGCCACTCATCGAATTCGCATACAACAACGCCCCATCCGCCACGACCCAACAGTCACCGTTTTACCTGAATTACGGACAAGACCCAACAGTACCCATGACCCCGAATCCCGACAACCCGGTTCCACGCGCGCAACAGTTCGCCGAAATTTTGCAAGCAGCACGGACCAGGGCAGCAGACGCAATTAAAAAAGCTAACATCATCGCTAAACGCAACGCCGACCGCCACCGCAGACCTGTCACGTACCAGCCCGACAACTTGGTTTTACTCGACACCCAAAATCTCCGACTGCCCATCACCCCGAAACTCCGCCCCCGATACTGCGGGCCATTTCGCATAAGCCACATGCTTACACCTGTCACCGCCCACCTCCTCCTCCCTGCTGACTGGTACGTCAGCCCCTCGTTCCACGTCAGCCTGCTTCGCCCTTACGTCCCGTCCACGAGCCAACTGCCACGCAATCGCCCAGCCAGCATGACAAGACCACCGACTGAACCAATCATCACCCCCGAGAAAATCCTGAGTCACAGAGTTCGCGACCCTCGAGGAGCCCGAAGGATCGAGTTCTTACTCCGCTGGAAGGACCGTACACCCACCGAAGACAATTGGGTTCCCCTGGACAGAATCGAAAACCACCCCGTCCTCACCGAGTATCTGCGCAGCCGGAATTTCAGGGATGTACACGCACTTTCGTAAGGAGGACCTCCTTAAGGGGGGGGGGGTAGTGTAAGGAAAATCTCTTTTTCCTTACTTCGCGTCCCTGCTCAACGCGTACATCACTGTAGCGCCACAGTCAGCACCGTTACCACTCGCAATCCTCGCATCGACAATCCGCCCGCCACCTTCGCACGTCGCACCCCGACCTCACGGCTCGGCGGGTAACCCGCGCTCCGGGCCTCCGCTTTGACACTTTTCCCAACCTCAGTCCCAGGCCCGTCGGGCGACAACCACAGTCCATTACCGTTACCACTGTAGTTTCGCTATATATTCTTCGCTCATACCTTCGCTCATTGGACTCTTGCTTCGATAGTGCAATTCTCGTTCGTTCACTCAATTGCACTCGTAACACTTGGACAACAAGGCGTAAGGGCTTTGTGGGAGTGTACCTTCAAACTTTATGCATTGTCCATATAGAAAACGTGCAACTTTTGACTATACAGCTCATAATGATATAGGATTATGTGCACTCGACATTATTCCTTAACCAGGATGTGGTACGTTCACAAATGAATTAAATGCTGTAATGATTTTCCTAAAAGGCGTGTCAATCAAGTGTAATTACTCCCTATGGTTTTATGCAAAAAGTGTATAGCCGTCAGAAAAACGAGATTGCAACTATAGAGGGTGAATTATGCAGTGGAATCTAATGTGAGGGACGTGCTTTCAGCCTGACAGCCAACACGTGGCGCATCGTAGACAGGGGATAAACACATTGGCGAGAAAAGTCACCATCGCCCAACCTGATGTACGGGTTTCGCGACAACCGACATTGCGACTCGGCTACGCATCAGGAAGGACGGAACATGCGGCCCGACTGCGCATATTCGAATTCACTTTCAACATTGACAAATTTGCGCGCTTTTCTCCCACGCCCCTCTCCCTCCCATTCTCACAACCAGTGCACCCAACAACTTGGAAATGAGTAGGTCACGTACAACACACCACCTGCCGACAGTAAGCAAGTGCGGGTTTAGCATTTCCAGATTTCATGGGCCCATCAAGTGCCATCATACATGGATAAACTTCTTCCGCAGCACGTTCGAAGGCAGAAAGCCCCGCATACCGTCCAGACAGCGCTTGGCCCATCACTGTCCCTGCTGCCGACAGGCCTTCTCATAAAAAGCCGACGGTTTTGTTTTAAGACCGACATTTACGCTTCGCTCGACGGAAGGACGCGCTAAACAAGTCGGATCCCTTTTGCAGCAATACATATTGAAGCCCTAGAAAGTAGCTTACGGTTTGACATCGTGAAAGGGAGTTTGAAACGATTAGAACAGCTTGAAGATAGTCTATTGCAACAACGCGTACGCTGTCAGACCTTAGTTAATCGCCTGCCGGTTGTTGACCTTTTCGCCTCGTTGCTTCCAAAAAGCTATCCGCTTCGCGTAACAGCGCGCCTCTAACTTGTCCTTAAAAAGCACGAGTGCCATCCAAACGGTGACCATGCGAGTCCCAATCAGGCTCGCACTGCTGCTCCTCTGCCTCGTAGCTCTGCTCTCTTCGGCACTGCTCCCCGCTGTTAGCAGCAGTGGCACCAGCGGTAGCGGCAGCCCCGGCGGGCCCCTCCGCGGTGGCGCCGCACTCGGCGGTGCTAAGACGCCTCAAAATGCTAGTATCGAGGATGAAGGTGAAGACGACGATGACGATTTAATAGAGGTTCTGCAAGAGGTCGCGAAGATGGGGAACTACAGCTACTTCGCTAACCAACTCTTATCGTCCCGTGAGTTATCAGGGCACATTGAGTGGCTTCATAATCATGCAGGTGTCTACGCGAACTTACTATACTGAGGCGCCTGTGAGATAGTTTCGGAATTACATCTACTTCACTAACCAACTCGTGTCGACAGTGAGTCAGCTTATGACAGCATGGTGAGTCGGCTTGTAGCAGCGCAGAAGTGCCCTACATTCCAGGGAAGGGGTGCTGATTCCAAACTCTTTCTTGTCGAGGTGACTTCTGAGTCGACTCATGGGTTCGCACTCCCAATCTCTGTATTCTCAAAGCTCACCTCTCTTACGAATGGTGATGCATGTGAATGGGTGGTATCCTCAGCGGCCGAATGCTCGTCTTCTTTCTCCACCAGCTTTGGCTGTGTGAAAATAACGACTCGTTCGACGTCTTTTCTTTAGTGGCTATTTCGTTCTTGGACCCAATGAGAGGTTCTGTTTTATTCCCCTATTTCCTTAGTGTCTCCATCGCAACACCTCATCAACCTAATCCCTGAAAACTCATGGTTCCGTCGCTTCCTTCCTGTATTGGCTCTCAATTATTCGTTCCATACCTCATTGTTTCTTCGTCTCCCTTTCTCTTCCCCTTCCCCACTCCCACGAATCCCGTCATAAACGCTGCCCGTTCTTTCTTTCTTTATTTGCAGAGGCGCTTCCCACATTTCCCAAGCCGCCCAAACAGGGGAAAGGAGGCGGCTTCCGACTGATCAAGAAAAAGCGAACCATTTTCATGCCAGTCGACACGGGGATGATTCGCGTGACCATGCAATCGTACCCGCGCGCCGTGGCGATGAAAATTTTCAGATTTCATATCGCAAAGGGTCTGTACGATTTCATGGAGCTCAAAGCGATGCCGCCTCAATCGAAGATTCCGACGTACGAAGGCGGGATGATCACGAAGGTTTCGCGAAAGAACACGAAACTCATCGTGCAGCTAAAGGGGAGGGGGTTTATTCCGACGACGATTGTATCAGGCGACATGCAGCGAGGGCGTAACACCATCGTCCACGGCATTACGTCCATCATGCTTCCGCCGGACTTGTAACGAAGCAAAAATCTCCGTTGCATGCGGGCGAACCTGGTCCTGAAGACGTTTTGGGACAAGCTGAACGGGAAAATAATCGTCCGAGAGGACGTTATACAGTGTCGCTTGGACGACGCATGCGACCAGCAAACGTCGCACAGGCTGACAGGAATAAGTCGAGCTATGCAGCTCATCTCGCCTTTAGCACGGCTTGCGTGTAATTTTGTTGTATTAAAACATATCATATTCGTAAAGAGACGAACCCTAGAAAATGTGCAAATTTGTCAAATTTTACCCTGGTATGTGGAACACTAGAAATTGTACAAATTTGTCAAAACAGGATTCATCAAGCCAAATTAGGCTAGCCAGCCTTCATTCTGTCAGCTTGGCAAAACAGCATAGCAACCGTAAGAGGCAGAACCATGCATCAATTCTCCTCGATGCCCTTGGCCTTCCTCCCCTTCCTCCTTGCCCTCTTCCCCTTGCCACCCTTGCCATCCTTTCCCTCATCGCCCCCCTTGCTCCCATTACCCCCATCTTCTTCCCCACCCAATCCAATCTCCACCCCTTCCACCGCCAGCAGCAGCTGAACAGCCTCGGAATGCCCGAACCTCCTCGCCAGGCCCGACGGCCGCTCGCCATACAGGTCCGGCACAGCAGTGAACGCGCCTGCAGCCAGCAGAGATTGAATGCAATCCAAGGACCCGTACCTCGCTGCTATGTGCAGTGCTGTTAGGCCATAGGTATTCTGCTTGTTGATAAAGGCTGGTGATGATGTGTCGTCTTGAGATTGGTGGGTGTGTACATGATGGGTCAGCAGAGTGTGCAGCACGTGGGTGTGATTAGACAGCGCTGCTGCCACGAGGGGCGTCCAGCCAGAGCCTGCATGGGGGAAGGGGGTTGGGATTGAGTAAAGTTGTTTGTATACTCGTCTCTGTGTCACGGCAGTGTGTGCATGGGTGTGGGTGTGTGAATCAAAACACACAGGCACCTCACCACACGCCGCTAAACCAATCACCTCACCTCCGCTGACCTCTCATACGCTCTGCACCTCTCTGCTGCCTTTGAGAATTCTCAAAATGGTGACAGTCTACTCTTTACACCCCACATCTCACCTCCCCTGTGGAGGCTCACATCCCCCTGCCAGTCCAGCCCTCTCCTCCTGCAGTGCCCCAGCAGCCGCCGCACCACCCACAGGTGGCCCTTAAGGTCCTTCCCAGGGACTAACTAACGACCATGTGAGGGTGCCTTTAATAGGCGCCGACATCTTACCTCCCCTGTGCAGGGACTTAAATGTGCAGGCTCACATCCCCCGCTCTGCCTTCCCAACCATTCGCCTCACCTCCCCTGTGCAAGCTCGCATCTGCCTCACCTCTCCTGCCTCACCACCCACAAGGAGCAACCCTTAACCACCATATAAGGGATGAATCCCCAACCCACATCTCACCTCCCCGGTGCAAGCTCGCATCCCCCTGCCAGTCCAGCCCTCTCCTTGTGCAGTGCCCCAGCAGCCGCCGCACCACCCACATGTGGCCCATTATTGCCAGTTAAGAGATCAATCGCCAGACCCCACACCTCCCCACCCCTCTCCACTCCTCACATCTCACCTCCCCTGTGAATGCTCGCATCTGCCTGCCTGCCAGTCCAGCCCTCGCCTCCTGCAGTGCCCCAGCAGCCGCTGCACCACCCACAGGTGGCCTTTCAGTGCCTCAGTCAAGGGGTGAAATCCACACCCAGAAGCTCACCTCCCCTGTGCAGGCTCGCACCCCCCTGCCAGTCCAGTCCTCGCCTCCTGCAGTGCCCCAGCAGCCGCTGCACCACCCACAGGTGGCCCTTGAGTGCCCCAGTCAAGGGGTGAAATCCACACCCAGAAGCTCACCTCCCCTGTGCAGGCTTGCATCCCCCTGCCAGTCCAGCCCTCGCCTCCTGCAGTGCCCCAGCAGCCGCTGCACCACCCACAGGTGGCCCTTGAGTGCCCCAGTCAAGGGGTGAAATCCACACCCAGAAGCTCACCTCCCCTGTGCAGGCTTGCATCCCCCTGCCAGTCCAGCCCTCGCCTCCTGCAGTGCCCCAGCAGCCGCCGCACCACCCACAGGTGGCCCTTGAGTGCCCCAGTCAAGGGGTGAAATCCACACCCAGAAGCTCACCTCCCCTGTGCAGGCTTGCATCCCCCTGCCAGTCCAGCCCTCGCCTCCTGCAGTGCCCCAGCAGCCGCTGCACCACCCACAGGTGGCCCTTGAGTGCCCCAGTCAAGGGGTGAAATCCACACCCAGAAGCTCACCTCCCCTGTGCAGGCTTGCATCCCCCTGCCAGTCCAGCCCTCGCCTCCTGCAGTGCCCCAGCAGCCGCCGCACCACCCACAGGTGGCCTTTGAGTGAGGCGATGTAGAGAGGTGTCTCCTCGCCCCGGTTGCCCACTGCCATGTCCGCACCTGCTTGTAGCAGCACCTGTGAGTGGGGGAGTGAGGGAGAGACCGAGTGGCGCAGGGGTGTAAGGGTATGTGTGTGTGTGAGCAGCTGCCGCACCACCCAGAGGTGGCCTTTGAGTGAGGCGATGTAAAGAGGTGTCTCCTCGCCCCTGTTGCCCACTGCCATGTCCGCACCTGCTTGAAGTAGCACCTGTGGGGAAAGTGGCGGGGGAGTACAACTGCATATAGAGAAGGACTACCAGCAAAACAACACAACCACCCTCTCACCCCCTTTCCCCTAAGGGCCCACCCACCCATCAACACCCCCTCCAACTCCCGCTCACCACTCCCCCCCACCCACCCACCTCCACGGTCCACGCATCGCCAGCCTCTGCCGCAAGAAACAGTGCCGTGGCTCCTCCCTTGTCCCTCATATTCACCACCAGCCGCCCCTCCCCTCCTATGTCAAATCCCATGCCCTCGCCTCTCGTGCCCTCGCCTCTCTTGACCTCGCCTCCCTTGCTCCTGCCTCTCTTGCCCTCCTGCTCCTCGTCCCTCCCTTGCCCCTCTTGCCCTTCCAACTCCTCTGCCTTTCCCCCCCTCTCCTCCTCTTCCTCCTCCTTTTCCCACTCCCTCTCCCCCCTCTCCACCTCCTCTTCCTCTCTCTCCCACTCCTCCCATAACCTCCTGTTCATCCTCTCACTGAAAGCCCCCTCCTTCTCCTGCTCCCCATCCTCTCCCTCCTCCTCTCTCCCTTTCCCCTCCTCTCCCTCTTCCCCACCACAATACACCCTCCCCGGCACCCCCCTCCCCCTACCCCCCCACTCCCCCCACCTCCCCAACCCCAGCGCCCTCCCCCCGAGCCCAACCACGTCAACCAATGCCTGGGCGCCACGTGTATCCTGCAGCAGGGCTGCCATGTGGAGGGGGGAGCGCTGCTGGAGGCTGCTACAGCCAGCAGCAGAGCGGAGAGACCAGAGGAGGGCGGATGGGGGGAGAGAGAGGGAGGGGGATGGGGAAGGAGGATTGGAAGAGGGGAGAGAGAGAGAGAAAGGGAGCATAGTGCTATTGCCAAGAGCGTTGCTGCTGCTGCCACTGCTGCTGCTACTGCTGCTCCCAAAAATGCTGTTGCTGCTGCTGCCGCCTGTGTTGCTACCATGCGAACAAGAGTTGGGCTCGAGTCCTTGCCCCCGCACTTTCCCCAGCCAGTCCAGCTCACAGCAGCACTCGTCTGAAGTGGGAATAGGGGCGGAAGCTGGTCTGACAGGGCGAGTGGCCCTCACACACTGCCGGCACAAGTGACGGGCTGCACCAGCTGCTGCAGCCACAGCAGGAGGAGGAGATGTTGCCCTATCGGCAACAGCTGATGTTCCTGGTGCTGCTGCCTCTATCGTCTCGGCTGCTTCTTCTTCTGCTACTCTCACCTGCGCAACGTTTTCCTCTGCCGCTGCTGCTCCTGCTATTGCCACTTGCCCTGCTATCACCTCTGGTGCTGCTGCCTCTGCTACCCTCTCTTGCGCTGCTGCCTCTGCTACCCTCTCTTGCGCTGCTGCCTCTGCTGCTGTCGCTTGCACTGCTACCACTTGCCCGGAAGCGCCCGCAAAGGACGGAAGGTGCCAGCGGGTATGGGCGGCAGCATGAGAGACGCCCTGGGCAGCATGGGCGTGAATCCGGGCGGCATGACGAGAGATATGGGCGGCAATGAGTGCCCCTCGATCAGTGGAAAGGTCTAGGAGGAGAGGCGGGTGGGGGAGGGAACTAATAACATCCCTGAAAGTAAAACGAGGAGGGGGTTGGGGAGAAGGGAAGGAAGAAGGGATAAGGAGATAAGGGTTAAGTGCCCCTCGGTCTGTGGAGAGATCGAGGAGGAGAGGCGGGTTGGGGAGGGAGCTAACAACATTTCTGCAAGCAAAGCAATGCGAGTTGGGGAGAAACGAGCGAGATGGCAGGTGGCTTTGATCAAATGCAAATGTGAGCGGCAATAAGTGCCCCTCAATCCGTGGAGAGGTTTAAGGAGGAGAGGTGGGTAGGGGAGGGAACTGAAAGCATCCCTGCAATCAAGAGAGTGTGGAGGAATACCGCTTTTTCATACTGTAAAATCTTCAATCTCATTACCTTAACATTTTATTTCTTTTCTTACCATCTGTTTCATAACTACTTAACCCAGCTACATAATAATCAGGTCCGTTATAATGGAAACAAGTATAATGGAAACAAGATTTTACGAGAGGCTTTCCAGACTTATTAATTACCTCGTGTCCTTAATAACGCCCATCCCCCCAAATGACACCTCCACCAGTTGCACCCTCCCCAGCAGCAACGAAACCCCACCAAGCAGAGGGAGAAAGGTGGAAACTCTGGTGGTTTGGTTTGGTGTCGACTGTAAGGTGGTTTGGCCATTCCATTGTTCCTTTCATTCCCTCACCTCATATCGTCCACCTCTCCCTTCTCCCAGAAAAAACACCTCCACCAGTTGAAGCCTCTCCAGCAGCACTGCCACGCCACCTAGTGCCTCCCCCGGCCGCACTTGTCTCTGCACCTGTCCCCGCGGCTGTCTCTGCGCCTCCCTTCCCCCCCATGCACCAAGCCGCAACTCCCCCAACCCTGCCCGCATCTCCCCCAGTTGCACCTGTCTCTGCGCCTCCCTTCCCCCCCATACACCAAGCCGCAACTCCCCCAACCCTGCCCGCATCTCCCCCAGTTGCACCTGTCTCCGCGCCTCCCCCTCTCCCCACTGCACCCCCCCTGGTTGCACCGCCCCCCATTGCACCCCCCCTGCTTGCATCACCCCCCATTGCAAACCCCCCAGTTGCACCTGCCTCCGTGCCTCCCCTTCCCCCCATGCTGCAAATGGTTCTGCGTCCCTCTGCTGCTGCGGTTGCTGCTGCTGCTGCTCCCGCTGCTGTTGCTGCTACCCCTCCAGCTGCTGTCGCTGCTATTGCTGCACTTGCTGGTGTTCTTTCTGCTGCTGCTGCTCCCTGTGCTGCTGTTATTGTACCTCCTACTGCTGTTTCTGCTGCTGTTGCTGCTGCGCCCACTCTTGTTGCTGCGCTTTCAGCTGCACCCCCCCCTGCTTCTGATGCTGCTGAAGCTACTAAAGCTCCTTGTGCTGCTGCTCTTTCTCCTGCTGCACCCACCCCTGCTGCTGCTGCGTCTGCTGCGCTTGGCAGTGGGCAGGCAGACGCCAGGCGGGAGAGCAGGGAGGATGGGACGAGGCGGGGAGGGAGTGAGAGGAGGAGGCGCGAGAGGGAGGGCAGGGGAAGAGCGTCAGGAAGAATGGGAAAGCAGGAGCCGCCGAGACACAGCAACTCGAGATGGGAGCAATTAAGGGCCTGCATTGACGTGGGGAGTAGTGAGGGGTGGGACGGGGCGAAGAGGAGATGGGGGAGGAAGGACGGGGAAAAAAGAGTCACACGGAGGGACGCAGGAAGAGGGCGTGAGGGAGGATGGGCAAGCGAGAACCTCTGATTGAAGAAGGGTTTTGAGACGTCTCAAAACCCTTCTTCAATCACGTGAGGGAGGATGGGCAAGCAAGAACCTCTGAGACACAGCAGCTCGAGATGGGGGCAACTGAGGGCCAGCAATGGAGGGGCGTTGGAGGAAAGAGCGAAGGGAGAGCGATGGGATGGGAGAGCGAGTGGCAGAGGGAAGGAATCAGGGAGGATGGGAAACGCAGAATGGTCGTGAAAGGGGTAAGACAGAGCAGCTCGAAATGGGGGCAACAGAGGGCCTGAAAGGATGGTAACAGGTTGGGCGAGTAGCAAGGGTGTAGGAAGGCAGGCAGGGAGGGCGTGAGAGAGGATGGGGAAGCAGGATCCACTGAGGCAGAGCAGCCCGTTATGGGGGCAACAGAGGGCCTGCAAGTGGGGGAGAAGAGAAGGGAGAACGAGGGGAAAGGGGAGGCGTGAGGGAAGATGGGGAAGCAGGATCCGCTGAGACACAGGAGGTCGAGGTGGGGGCAACCGAGGGCCTGCAGGATGGTGGGGGCGAGAGGAGAGTAAGAGGGAGGGGAGGGGAGGGCGGGAGGGTGTCAGGGAGAGTGGGGAAGCAGGATCCGCCAAGACACAGGAGGTCGAGGTGGGGGAAGCTGACCTGAAGGCCTGCAAGTGGAGGTTAGTTTTGAGAATTCTCAAAACTAATCTCAAACAAAACGGAGTAGTGAGGGTGAGGGGAGAGAGAGACGGAGAGAGAGAGAAGGCCCTCTTCCTCTGCACTCAGCCCTCTTCCTCTGCACTCAGCCCTCTTCCTCTGCACTCAGCCCTCTTCCTCTGCACTCAGCCCTCTTCCTCTGCACTCAGCCCTCTTCCTCTGCACTCAGCCCTCTTCCTCTGCACTCAGCCCTCTTCCTCTGCACTCAGCCCTCTTCCTCTGCACTCAGCCCTCTTCCTCTGCACTCAGCCCTCTTCCTCTGCACTCAGCCCTCTTCCTCTGCACTCAGCCCTCTTCCTCTGCACTCAGCCCTCTTCCTCTGCACTCAGCCCTCTTCCTCTGCACTCAGCCCTCTTCCTCTGCACTCAGCCCTCTTCCTCTGCACTCAGCCCTCTTCCTCTGCACTCAGCCCTCTTCCTCTGCACTCAGCCCTCTTCCTCTGCACTCAGCCCTCTTCCTCTGCACTCAGCCCTCTTCCTCTGCACTCAGCCCTCTTCCTCTGCACTCAGCCCTCTTCCTCTGCACTCAGCCCTCTTCCTCTGCACTCAGCCCTCTTCCTCTGCACTCAGCCCTCTTCCTCTGCACTCAGCCCTCTTCCTCTGCACTCAGCCCTCTTCCTCTGCACTCAGCCCTCTTCCTCTGCACTCAGCCCTCTTCCTCTGCACTCAGCCCTCTTCCTCTGCACTCAGCCCTCTTCCTCTGCACTCAGCCCTCTTCCTCTGCACTCAGCCCTCTTCCTCTGCACTCAGCCCTCTTCCTCTGCACTCAGCCCTCTTCCTCAGCCCTCTTCCTCAGCCCTCTTCCTCAGCCCTCTTCCTCAGCCCTCTTCCTCAGCCCTCTTCCTCAGCCCTCTTCCTCAGCCCTCTTCCTCAGCCCTCTTCCTCTGCACTCAGCCCTCTTCCTCAGCCCTCTTCCTCTGCACTCAGCCCTCTTCCTCAGCCCTCTTCCTCTGCACTCAGCCCTCTTCCTCAGCCCTCTTCCTCTGCACTCAGCCCTCTTCCTCAGCCCTCTTCCTCTGCACTCAGCCCTCTTCCTCAGCCCTCTTCCTCTGCACTCAGCCCTCTTCCTCAGCCCTCTTCCTCTGCACTCAGCCCTCTTCCTCAGCCCTCTTCCTCTGCACTCAGCCCTCTTCCTCAGCCCTCTTCCTCTGCACTCAGCCCTCTTCCTCAGCCCTCTTCCTCAGCGCTCTTCCTCTGCCCTCTTCCCTCTTCCTCAGCCCTCTTCCTCTGCACTCAGCCCTCTTCCTCAGCCCTCTTCCTCAGCGCTCTTCCTCTGCCCTCTTCCCTCTTCCTCAGCCCTCTTCCTCTGCACTCAGCCCTCTTCCTCAGCCCTCTTCCTCTGCACTCAGCCCTCTTCCTCAGCCCTCTTCCTCTGCACTCAGCCCTCTTCCTCAGCCCTCTTCCTCTGCACTCAGCCCTCTTCCTCAGCCCTCTTCCTCTGCACTCAGCCCTCTTCCTCAGCCCTCTTCCTCAGCGCTCTTCCTCTGCCCTCTTCCCTCTTCCTCAGCCCTCTTCCTCTGCACTCAGCCCTCTTCCTCTGCCCTCTTCCTCTGCCCTCTTCCCTCTTCCTCAGCCCTCTTCCTCTGCACTCAGCCCTCTTCCTCTGCCCTCTTCCTCCGCCCTCTTCCTCTGCGCTCTTCCTCTGCCCTCTTCCTCTGCCCTCTTCCTCTGAGCCTAATTAGGGGCCTCCTGTGCACTCTCTTCCTCATTATTTCGTGTGTGTGTGGTTCTCTCACATCACAACCCCCAGCTGCCTTTTGAGACGTCTCACAAGTCTTTTGAGACGTCTCAAAAGCCTCCTGTGCACTCTCTTCCTCATTATTTCGTGTGTGGTTCTCTCACATCACAACCCCCAGCTGCTCTCCCCATCCTAAGACCGTCTTCTTCTCACCACAAGCTGTATTTCTCACACACACTCTACCACTCACAATGAGCTGCACCGCTCTGGCTGAGAGTGCCTGGCAGGAGTGCGGAGAGAGGGCGGGCGGGGAGGAGGGATACTGTATACATTCTTGGACCTCTCTTTCCTACCACTCACCAGGAGTTGCAGCACTCTGGCGGGCAACGCTTGGCAGGAGTGTAGGGTAGGGACATCCCTGCACACGGCAGGAGTGTAGGGACATCCCTGCACACATACCGTGAGTACCCTCTTCTCCTTGCAAGCAGCCAGCTCCTACCAACCCACTCTTGCACTCACAATGAGCTGCAGCGCTCTGGCTGAGAGCGCTTGGCAGGAGTGCAGAGAGAGGGAACGCAGGGAAGAAGGGCGTTGGAGCGCTCGAGAGAGTGCTGCTGGGAAGGAGGCTGGTGAGGTGGGGTTGGGGAGAGGTTGAGGGGGGCCGGGAGGGAGGGTGTGCAGTGAACGAGGGGAAGCGGGTTAGCACATGCACAAGGGAGAGGGGGCGCAGGGGGAGGGCGGGTGAAACTCTCGTGAGAGCGCAGCTGAGAAGGAGGTTGAGAGGGGTTCATGGGGGTGGGGTGGAGGTTGAGAGGGGTTCCTCTCATTCTCGTGTCATTCCATCAACCCTCCTCCCCCGTCGTCCCAGCAAGTCCAAGAAAGGCCATGAGCCCATCCTCCTCTCATCCACCCCCCTTCACCTACCCAACCCCCATTCCCCACCCCCTCCTTTGCATGTCATTTCCCACCACTCACCCTCCTCCTCTCTCTTCTGAGTCAGTCCAAGAAATGACATGAGCCCATCCTCATCCTCTTTTGGAGGCTCGCTCTGGGCGGCACTGGAGATAGCGGTATCTGGGGGTGCCACGTGGCGCACAGAGAGCCTGTCCACGTGGCTGAAGACCAGGGCAGTCAGCACCGAGCCCGGTTTCCTGGAAGCTTCTAGAAGGAGCGAGACGGTGTGGGGGGAGAGGCCGAAGCAGCGGTGGAGAGAGATGGTGGTGAGGGCGGGGGAGGAGGCGAGATGAGGTGCCAATGCGTCTGTGCTGGTGGGGTGGGGGGGTAGGGGAGGGAGAGAGGGGAAGAGGACGGGAGGTGTGGGGTGTGAGGCTGAAGCAGCAGTGCAGGGAGATGGTGGTGAGGGAGGGGGAGGCGGCGAGATGAGGCGCCAATGCGTCTGTACTGGTGGGGAAGAGGAGGGGAGAGAGGGAGACAGGGGACGAGAGGGGACGAGGGGAAGAGAGAAAGAGGGAAAAAGATAAGCAATGATCAAGGTTCGCTGGAAGCAAGCGAGGCCGTGTGTGGCTGAAGCAGCGGTGGAGGGAGATGGTGGTGAGAGAGGGGGAGGAGACGAGATGAGGCACCAATGCATCTGTGCTGGTGGGGGAGAGGAGGGGAGAGAGGGAGAGAGGGAGAGAGGAAGAGAGGGAGACAGAAGAGGAGGGAAATGCGCAACACCCAGAGCCTTTTGGGTTCAGATAATGCATACTTACACGTTCTGAATGTTTGGTATCTCGCATCAGCCTATGCTGAAACGTATAGGTTAAAAGAAGAAGAAGAAGAAAAGAACAAGGAAACCCAGATTACTTACAGCTTTCTGCAGTTATCCAACACAAGCACTTGCATCCTAGTCAGCGAGGAGACACACATTGCCACGTCAGCATCAGACACTGCTGAGGTGGCAAGTGACAGCGTGTGCAGTAGCGGCGCCACGTGTGCAATTCCCGGTACTGCCTGAGAGCACCATGTAGAGCTGTGCAGGGGGAAGGAGGCAAGTTGCTCTGCTGACGTGGCAGCTGAGCTGGCGTTCGCAGATTCTGTAAGGATGTGGATGGATTAAGCACGAAGACACAAAGGCGGTGCAGTTTAGACACGACTCGGAAGAATTAGGAGCATTTTAACCAATTATTATCCCGCTATAAAAAGTAGCTAGCCGCTGGAGGTTGTACCTTATCACTAAAAATCAATTACCAGCTATCCCCGTTATTAAGCCGCACAGATCCCCTCGCGCCAAACAACGAGTCGACAAGCACGCCAAATGCACTTACGTGGCACGCTGCCATTGGCTCCGTCCTTTTGACAAACAGAAACCCGATCCATCTGCAGAAGCGACAGCCGGAGAGGTGCCGAGGCAACTGCATCGCGAAGACCGCGACAGGCGCTTCTCACGGCAACAACGTCGCGCGGATCGCAGAGCGATCGCGAGAGAATGTGTGCGACGATTGGGCTTGGCAGGTCGCACAGCGACGGCGAATTCGATCTGAAATCGCACAAGGATTCTGGAATTTCCGGTCTGGAATATAATAGACTTGGCTTGCGCGGAGAGATTCCTCCCGTGCGGGAATTCTCAGGATCAAACGCTAACGTGGCGGCCATGGCTGCCAGCTGGGCTCAGCCTGAACCGATTAGCGACGGAATGGTTCGATTCACCGCGAGGTGAAAGCAATGGCGAGATTCTCTGCAAAAACTGTCTGCTTGTGACAACGCGAGGGGTTTTTTGGTACTACACTAGCTGCGCTAGCTACCTGCTGGCTACCTCGTCAGGCAGAAGCAGCATTCATGGATGCTATTTCGTGGCGTGATGCCACGATGTCACTTCTGTTGGTATGGCAGGTGACGTAACAGTTTCATACAGATAAATTTCGCATTTGTCTTTTCAGTTTTGAGTCCCTTTACATCGCGTACAGAGGTAAATTTCGGCCACCACAAGGCCTGGAGCAAACCCCGCCAATCGAATGCCACGGTGCAGTGCAATACTTTCGCAAGGCAGGGCATTTTCAATTTCGCCAGAACGTCGTCCAACAGAAACGACAATGCGATGAGCCACGCCAGCCAGCTGCTGACCGACAGTCTCGCCGTTCAGCGGGATTCTTCGCAGTGTAACCGACTGTTCTCGCTGGGTGGATTTCGGTGACCCGTCGTGAACCGACAAGCGACGCAGGCGACTCTACGAACCGCGTGATGGACGGAACACTGTTTCACGAACTCAGGCGCGGAGCCTCACACCCTGGGTAACGGGAGCTTCATTGGCCCTGCGATGAGCCTTCCTTGCAGCGACTCGGACAAAATTGGCCTGCGATTTCGTCAGATCAGCACTTTCTGTCGCACGCGACTCGAGTTTCTCAATCACACTTCAAATGCAGTTTGACACCTGCATCATCATCATTCATCACCATACTAACGGCAACCTCTACCACTTTACTCCAGTTCTCTTTTGTTCTCCAATTCTCCTAGCCTCCAGTTCTCCATTTCCTGTTTAGCGGTTTTCCTGGTATTCCATTACTCGCTCTCCCCTTGCGCATTTCAAAACCTTCCTCAGCTTAGCCTCAGGGTAGCGCTCCCTTAGACACTCCTTTGAGTTTTTTCATATCCTCGCAAAACCAACGCCAATTAGGTACATTTTGTGCTATATTGTGGTTCCATAGTTTCTCAGCCCGTAACCAGCTTTGAGAATGGGATCGCCCCATCCTGTCGGTCTCCTAGCGATGATCGTCCTGCTGTGTCACAGCGGCTCTCAAGTTTCCGCTCTTAGAACAAAGGAGGTCGATCGAGCCGTCAACGGCATCTCGCAACACCCGGCGTACCAAGGCCTCCACAAATTCGTCGACGACTATCGTAAGTTCCAGCGGGCGTAAAGCGAGTTACTCAATAGAGGGATCCAATTTGCAACAAACTCTCTTTCCCATCTCCCTCCTGCCAAGCCTTGCCTTCTGTTTTCGCCAAACCTTCGCCAGAACCTCCCCAAGTACGGTGCTAATCATATGTCTTATTCTCTTCGACGTCTCCCCTCCCTTACAGTGAAGTCGAAGATCCCTCTAACGGACATAACCATCTTGCTTCCGGCAAATATCGCGGCGCTTCAGAGTTACACCAAGGACCAGCAGTCGACGATTCTCTCTTACAACACCATCGCCACGCGCTACCTCTTCCGCAACCTCACCGACATTCCCCCCGGCACCCAGATCGACACTATCGAGGGAAACCTTGTCGCGAAGCGCGGTCCCAAGGGCCGGCCAATCGTCACGTTTCAAGGCGGGTCGAAGCTGCCGACAGCTCTGGTCGTGCCGAACCTGTGGGTAGGTTCGGACTTCACTATCCAGGGCACGAGCACGCTGCTCATCCCGCCGGATCTGATCCCCGCAGCGAGTACCACGAGTCTCCGCGGGGGAATCGGACGCGCTATTGGCGGGACCGTTAGAGACACTGTTCGTGGCACCATCAATGGTGTTGGCTCACTTTTCAGGCCTTCTCCACGCCCGTAGATGCTCTGGCGGGGCGCTAAGATGCGGTGTAGCTGAAATTTAGGGAGGGTGTGTTTATAGAGAACCATATAACAGAGTGGTGGTTATACAGAGAACCGCTAGGGTGCGTCCCTAATTTCGTGTCGTCGGTTTTCCTTCATTTGACACGAAGGTAGGGGCATGTCCTTGGTTATGCAGTCTATGTGGTGGGAAACTGGGCAGCTGCGCTCCAGCTCTCTAATTTCATGATTGCCTGCCAAACCCATTTTCGTAATTTCCTGAATTGACCTAGCAGAATCAGGTGGATCTAGGGTCACAGTTGAAGGACCCAGTTGAAGAATCGCTTGAACCCAGGTCACATGTGTCAAGGATCCCTCGTGTCATGGATGGACCTGTGAGCAGTTGAAAGATCACTTGCAGTAGGTGGATTCAGGGTCACCTTCGATCTTGTCTGGGTATGCTTGAACCCAATTCTGAAACTAAAAAAACATCTTCCTTTGCTCGAGAGGAGAAAGCGCCTTCACAAATTTCGCCTCCTCACCAAACCAATGCGCCGCAGTGGCGTAGGCATGGACTCTCACACACCGATCTATCCGCCGAGCCTCGTACTCCTGAATCGCAGCAGCTACGGCGTCAGGTGCGGTGAGCTTTTCCTTGATATCACCAAGGCATAGGGACAACTGGTGAGCATCCTCGAAAGCAGTATGGGCACCTTGCCCTGGACCGGGGTGCATGGCATGTGCAGCATCCCCCATAAGAACAACCCTGTTACCACACTTGGAGTCGCTCCACGAATCCTTTGGAGGAGGCCGGTCCATCATCCACCGCTCGTAGATGCTCCCGGGGTCGGTGGTGGTAACCACCTGGAGCATGGTATGCCATGTGTCATGCCCTGAGGGGTCTGCAATGTTCTTGCTGATGTGGCACAGCAAACGGTCTTTGACACCTAGCTTGCCAAAGCCACCAAAAGGTGTTGACTGGAGCTCAGATTTGAGCTGGCCATCAGGGTCAGCAGCTTGAACCTGAAATTGGGAAGATTGTCAGGGTAGCACAGATTCTGAAGGTGGTGTATAAACTGTTGCTGACACAATGCAAGTGTGCGTGGTTGCTGAAACAATGTGGTTGTTTCGCTATGAAAAAAAAGCAGGAGGATACACGCCAGCATCAATTGTGCTAGCATGTGCGAACTAAAAGTGGTGGATTAACCAACAACGTGCCAGCATAATGATGTGGTATGGATGGGATGGGCTGAATAAATTGGCCTTGAAGAAAGACGTGAAAAGAGAGTGTGAGAAGAACACAGCATGCATACCTGCCAAAAAATCTTCCCGTGGCCGACGTCAATCATGAACATCTGGTAACCCGTAACCTCATCTTTGAAAACAAAGAACGTTCGATTCTGTTGTTGATGCACACTAGCGGTTAGCGGGTTTGGCACAAGCGCGTTCCATCCAATCTGCGCCAGATACCGAGGCGAGTCGCCAATCATCTGATTTCGCACAGCTGATCGCAGGCCATCTGCTGCGACTAGAATCTTCGCACGAACCACCACCAGCTGGCGCTGCTGCTCCACCGCATCCGCCTCGTCCGCAGTTTCAGATCCTTCCGCAACAGCAAACCTGGAATCATCTGCGCCAGTTTCAGGATTCGAACTCACAACCTCGAGCACCACGTCAACTGCTTCCACCTCTCCCTCGCTGCCGCTATCATTGCTACTTTTCGTTCCACCACTTCTGTTGCCTATAGGAACTCCCGCCACGACGGGATGGTACGCCACGACGCGATGTCCGTGCATAATACTATCGGGTCGCGTTAAAGACGAGGCAAGCACCTCTTGGGCTCGCGCCCACTCCACGACTATCTGGCCTCGCGGCGCCACTTCCCTCATAACCCACCCGTCGCGATTTTCGCTGGTTCCTTTAATAGCAGCATCGTTAGTGGCAGATCCGCTACTATAACCGCCGCTGGTAGAAGGTCTGGCCGGTTCAGAAGCTACTACATCCGCCGAAATTTCTCGGAAAACCGACTTAACTTTTGTGATTGATGATCCACACGCAATCACAGAATCTCCGAGCCCCGGCTTTAATCCTTGGAGCGCCTTGGTGCCGTTGGGAAACATGACGAGTATCGTGCCGGTGCTGTTGTTTGATCGCAACGCGGCGGGCGCTGCCTCAAAAACGGCCGCATCGACGCCGCGCCACTGCAGGCCGGCGGCGAGCGCGAGCCCCGCGAGTCCGCCGCCCGCAATCGCCACGTCGACGTGGAATGAGGGCGGCGGAAGCTCCGCCGCAACGGTCGGATCTGGCGCCGCGTTTTGCACCGTGTTCGACGGGTTTCGGGCTGCTTGCGGATTGGAGGAGCTTCGCCGCGGCTGCGTGAGACTTCTGTCGCCGGCCATGCCTTCTTGGTTTTCATCATGAGTGATCCTGGAGGCGTAGTGGCGGCGTCGAGTCGTCACGCGACGCCATTGATCCGTCGTTCTGAGGCGCAAAGTTCGAGTCGCGCATTTCGCCACCGTTGCGACACGAAGAACAGGGAGTGTGACGGCAGGTGGGGAGAGAAGGGCAGCCATAGCGGTTCTGATGATGATTTAGATTTAGGAGAGTGTGGGTAAGAGAATCTAGGTCGTTCCCAGGGGGGCTTCAATGTTCTTCTCTCGGAGGAAAGAGAGAGAGGGAGGGAGCCCCTCTTTCGTGACGAGCCGCACGTGTGGCGCATCTCCGAGGCTTCAGGCGAAGGCACGCCGGCGGCGCGGAGAAAGCTTCGGGAGAAGGAATCTCGCCGAGGGGTGTGGAGGAGAAGAGCGAAGCAGGCGTGGCTGGCAGGCACTGCCTTCCAGCAGAAAGACGGCAGGAATAGACGGCCATTGTGGAATTGAAGGTGCAGCGCTGCAGCTCGACATAATGGGATTCTCGGAGCTGACGTGGCTGTCAACAATTGTAAGAATATGCCGGAGCTTTCGGGCTCGAGGATCCCAGAACGCCTCTGTGAGGCCTGCAATTTTCCATCGCATCAGGGTTTCCCCTAGCCGTGCCGCAGATGGGTGGGGACGCTACAAAGGTCAGGCTTGTACTGCACTTGATGGTGAGATTCTTGAGATCGACGTGTCATGTCAATGGTGGTGTAGAAACTCGCGAAGATTGATCTCGACTCGAGCACAGTAAGGGCGTGTCCCACGCGTTCGTTTACAGTTCATGTGAAGCGTTGTAACCCTATTTTCTCTCTGTAACCATTCGAATTTTACAACTGTAGATATGCGTCGTCAATGACGCGCAACACTGACGTGCTGTAAACATAAAAAGGTTCGTAAAGTACGCGTTAAAAAACAGCTTCCAGTTACGAACCGTCACCTCGAACAGGTCCGCGTAAGCGGTTATCAAAATATCTTTTTTTTTTTCGCCCAACCCTCACTCGCGCGAAAAAAACGAGCGTCGCAAGCGAGTCGACAGTCTGGTTTGTATGTTTCTGGTTGTGCGAGCTCCGTCATTTTTGGCACAGTTGATTCGCAACTGGCCCGGGTTACCGCTCGCGAACCGTGTCAAATGTGATTCGGAGTCCATCCGAACCCTGGTGGATTCGAATCCACCAGGTGCCCCTCCTGGTGGAAGTCGTTTCCGCGAGCACGCGGAAGCGATCCCGCATTTGCCCGTGTTTTACTGTTCCTGCTCGTATGAACCTTTGAATACGAGTTTTGTGTGGGCGGGCCTGGGGTTCGCGTGGTCCAAATTCGTTTGGCGCAGTGCTGACGTGCTGCGTGTTATTTTCGTCAGAGTAAACACTCTTTTGCTGACTCGAAGTTACGTGAAAAAAGCCTTTCTCCCAAAACAAAATCGTGGAGCACGCCCTGACTTGGGTGGGATTGACGCGACGAACAGCAGAGTGCGCCACAGGAGGGGGGGATGGGAAGAGGGGGGGAAATCTGGTTTGAGGATGTTGGGGAAGCAAGAATTTGCACTGGAAGGCCAGTAGTTCCAAGTTGGTTTTCGTAACCTAGATAAAAATGATTGGTTGTACTGGAACCAGCCCTGATTCTGAATGGTTGGCTCTGGAGCTTCCCTGAAAACTTCACGGTTGTGTCTAGAACGACCCCTGGTTTCCAGGGGGACTTATGGACCGACCGCGTCACCTTTTCCCCTTGCTCACCCATCCCCCCTCCCCGCTAACCCCTACGGGAGAAGGGTAGGGATCCGAATTTGTTCGAATGCCCCAAACCCAGTTTACAACCCTGTTCAAGACGGTTAATAGCAGTTCCAAGCGGTGAAGAGCCTCTTTCCAAAATCAGAGATTTTCGTACATAGCTTTCTTACACGGAACATGAATGAATAAACTCTCGTGACTCTCTTATACTGAGGATTTTTCTAAAACGTCAAAGGTTCTCTCAGTTGCACGAGGTGGGGAATGCAACTAAAATCGTGACGACCACACGAATTTGCTGGGGAGGTGGGACAAGGTGCGAACGCTGGCCGCTTCTGAATCCTATCAGCCGATACGACATTCGGACGGAGCGACTGTTGTTTGTTGGCTAGCCGCGCGTCCAGAGGCGCCGTCGTTGTGAGCGACAACGGGCGCCGGCAAGACTATATTCTTAGACTATGTGTCAGCGAGATTCCCTGTCGGAAAGCTGCGATCGAACAAGTAATTTGAAATCGCAGCAGCACTGAGTGTCCATCGGTCAGAGCCGCGCGAAGCGCGACTGCGCTTATAAACCGACGCGTGTCAGACACTGAAAAAGACGTAGCTTGTCGTCGCGACGCGCCAGACGTAAGTGACGCGAGGGCGAATGCGCCTCGTCTCCGCGCTTCAAGCCCTGTCGAGCCGCCGCGTGACGCAATTGGCGCAGAAGGCGATGACGAAGGCCAAGCCGTCTAGTGGCGGGAAAGAGGGTTCTAAGAATAAGTACTACGCGGTTCGAAAAGGGCATCAGCCGGGGATCTATCTGACGTGGCCGGAATGCCAACGACAGGTAAGCAGATGGAGTTGAGTCTGACGTGGTGTTGCGTATAGGTAATCCTGAATCACCATGGATGACACCATGCATCCCACCATGCATCCCACCATGCATCCCACCATGCATCCCACCATGCATCCCACCATGCATCCCACCATGCATCCCACCATGCATCCCACCACGCATCACACCATGCATCCCTCCATGCATCCCACCATGCATCCCACCATGCATCACACCATGCATCCCTCCATCCATCCCACCATGCATCCCACCATCCGTCCCACCATCCATCCCACCATCCATCCCACCATCCATCCCACCATCCATCCCACCATCCATCCCACCATCCATCCCACCATCCATCCCACCATCCATCCCACCATCCGTCCCACCATCCGTCCCACCATCCATCCCACCATCCATCCCACCATCCGTCCCACCATCCATCCGACCATCCATCCCACCATCCATCCCACCATCCATCCCACCATCCATCCCACCATCCATCCCACCATCCATCCCACCATCCATCCCACCATCCGTCCCACCATCCGTCCCACCATCCGTCCCACCATCCATCCCACCATCCATCCCACCATCCATCCCACCATCCATCCCACCATGCATCCCACCATCCATCCCACCATGCATCCCACAATGCATCCCACCATCCATCCCACCGTGCATCCCATCATGCATCCCACCATGCATCCCACCGTGCATCCCACCGTGCATCCCATCATGCATCCCACCATGCATCCCACCATGCATCCCACCATGCATCTGACCATCCATCCCATCCTTCATCCCACCATCCATCCCACCATGCATCCACCATGCATGACCTATTCCTTTGCTTCATCCATTCAAATTTCCAAGTCCACTGTTTGCTGATTATTCCCCAGGTGACTAATTACAAGGGCAACGCATGCTCCTTCTTTAGTTCCTTCGCGTACTCACTGTACCTTCCTTTTATTTGTTCCCCAGGTGACGAATTTCAAGGGCAACCAGCACAAGAGCTCCACCACATTGAATGAATGATCCCCTCCCCAACCTCGCTCTCCCATCTCCTCTGTCTGTGCACTCACTGTACCCTATACTGTCTACTCCTTTTCCTTTCCAGGTGACCAATTTCAAGGGCAATCAGCACAAGAGCTTCACCAACTTGGATGAAGCCCTATCCTACCTCGCCCTGGCTAACGTCTTCGTCTCTTCTCCCCCCAAGCACGCTGCTGCTTCTGCTCTGAAAAGAACCGCTATTCCTTCTGCTGCTGTTCGTGTCACCACCCCTGCTGCTGTTTCTGCCGCTGCTGCTGTTGCTGCTGCTGCCGATGCTGCTGCAAATGCACATCGTACTGCTGCTGGTAGGTGTTCAATTCGTCTCTTCGCCATTATACCTGCCCGCTCGTGTCACTCCTGCTGCTGTCTCTGGTGCTGTTGCTGTTGCTGCGCCTGCCAATGCTGCTGCTTTCGCGAATGCGGATCGTATCGCTGCTGGTACGTATTGGAATATTCTTTGCTACGAATTTGTGTTTTGTTGCTGCTGCTGATGCTTCTTCTCCCTCTCCTACTCTCGAATCCTGCTCCTCTCCCTCTTCTCACTTACTTCTTCGTTGTTTGTGAAGTCCCACCTTTCTCGCTCCCTCTCCCGCTCACTCGCTTGCAATTCCTCCTTGCACCTTTCCATTTTTCCTCCCTCTCCACCCTACCCCAATCTAGAAAGCGGGCTATTTTTCGTATAATCCTCCTCAAAAGCCAAGCTCTCATCTTCCCTTCTCCCTCCCTCTCTACACCAACCACCTAACCCGCTTCTGCAGGTGAAAGCACAGAGAGCGAGGGCGAGAGGGGGGGGTCGGGTGCAGGAAGGGGGGATGAGGAGGAGGGGGGTGGGGGAAGTGTGGGGGGCGAGGGGGGAGTGGGAGCAGTGGTAGAGGAAGGGGCGGTGAGGATGAGTAGAGGGGAGGACATGCGGCAACGGGTAGCGGAACTTGGTTTGCAAATAGACCCACAGGTCAGTCTCTCTCACTGATAGACGCAAGGGCGAGCGAGGGGGGGTTGGGAGCAGTGGTAGAGGAAGGGGCGGTGAGGATGAGGAGAGGGGAGGACATGAGGCCACACGTAGCAACACTTGCCTGCAAGTAGACCCTGAGGTCAGTCTCTGGTCCCGGGGATGAGTGGGGAGAGGGGAGTGGGTGCAGTGGTAGAGGAGGGAGTGGTGAGGATGAGGGGAGGGGAGGACATGCAGCCACACGTAGCAACACTCCGCTTGCAAATAGACCCGCAGGTAAAGTTTATCTAGACACATAAAAAGGCAAAATCAAAGGCAAAAACAAAAGACTATGGCTTATTGTGAGTGCGTTGATTGATGTTACTGTGGGTGGGGATGAGGAGAGAGGAGGGGAAGGACATGCGAGCAGCCACACGTGTCGTGTCAGCCCTTGGCTTCCAGTTAGACCTTCCTGTCATTCTCAGATTGAGAGCAACCACACAGGAGGGCATGCGAGCAGCCACACGTGTCATGTCAGCTCTTCCAGTCCAGTTAGACCTTTGTGTCATTCTCAGATTGACCCCCCCAATTGTGCTGACATATATCCCAAGGAGACCTTTGTGTCTTTCACCTTCCCCCCCAGGCCCTTTACCGCATGGAATTTGACGGACCCTCCAAGGGCAATGCTTCGAGCTCTCTCTTCCGTACCCAGTGCCTTGGAGCCTTTTAAGTGCCTCGTCTCTTCCCCTTTTTGGTTCACTCACTGTGTGCCTTTCACCCCCCCAGGCGCTCTACCGCATGGAGTTTGACGGGGCATCCAAGGGCAACCCGGGGCGGGCAGGCGCAGGGTCGGTGCTGTGGGATGAAGGGGGCAACGAGGTGAGTGATGATGGGCTGTGATGTGAGTAGTGAGGTGCCTGCTCCAGGTATTGGCTTGAAAGGGCATCCAAGGGCAACCCGGGGGGGCAGGCGCGGGGTCGGTGCTGTGGGATGAAGGGGGCAACGAGGTGAGGTGATGGAGGGTGAGGTGATGGAGGGTGAGGTGATGGAGGGTGAGGTGATGGAGGGTGAGGTGATGGAGGGTGAGGTGGGCTTCGGGGTGGGGTGAGAGGTGGGGTTTTGGGTAGCAGATCAGGGGCAACTGGGGGCGGGCAGGGGCGGGCTCTATGCTGTGGGACGAGCTCGGCAACGAGGTGAGTGGGGGTTTCTGGTGGGGGTGAGTCGTTCCGTCCACTGGACAAGCACTCGCATGCAACATGGCAGAGTATCGGGCGTTCATACGAGGAATGGAGCTGGCGTGAACTCCACTGAGGGAGGGCGGAGGCGTGGGGCTTCAACTGAGGGAGCTGGCTTGACTTTTGAGTCGACTCAAAAGTCACGGAGGGCGGAGGCGTGGGGCTTCAACTGAGGGAGCTGGCTTGAACTCAACACCATCCCACCGGTCCTCTTCTCTTCTTCCTTTTGTCTTTCCCTTACATCTCTCACATCCCTCCACACCACTGTTCCTCCATCCCACCACTATTCAAATCCATCCCACCCATCCTCCTCTCCCTCCCGCCTATACATGGTCAAAGTGACGAGTCGAGCAATACTCGACTCGTCACTGGTCTTGCTCGCCGAGCTTTTGCCTCGAGTCGAGCAAAACTCTGACGAGCAAATCTCAACTTTTTGCATACTCGTGACTCGTCCCTTTTGGGCATGCTCGGGCGAGTTTGGGGGGAATCTCGTCCGAGCAAAAGTAATGCTCGACTCGCCACCCTGTGCTTTGTAACTGCAAAGTTTGCCCCTGCATAAATTTCCTATACAAGACATGTCTAGGTTGCATTCGTCGACATGATGCTCCGTTTGTATCTTAGTGATATTTCGCGACTCGTTTTCTTCCGAAGATGCCGAGGTAAAAGATGCTATGCTAAGCGATCAGCTAGGTACTAAGTTGCCTAGTCTACGAAATTAGGTAAGGAAACGAGTGTGGGGGGGGGGGGGGAAGGGGGTGGGTTTGGGGTGGCTTGAGAAGAGGAGCTGTGAGTCGCGTCAAACTGTTTCGCGACAACAGTTCGCGAACACTTTTGACTAGATCGCAGGTGATCCGTGGTAAGGCACGACAAAATTTCACTTGCTCGCCAATTTCGCGAGGGGTGGAAATTGTGGTGGTTGGGTACAAAAACGTTCCTCAGATCTGTACCCAACCATTGAACCGTTCGATGTGGTGGAAAACATACGCCACTTCGCGGATTGAGTGTGGATGTGCTGGCGAAACTGTAGGGAAAGTGGTTGGGACCACTTGGCGGGTTCAGATCTGGGCTCAGATTTTCCCGCTAATCTGAACCCCAGGCAAAAGTTACGCGACGAGTTTTGTATGCTCGTCGAGTTCAATAAAGCTCGACGAGCACAAAGAACACCTGAGAATGCTCGTCGCCATGACCGAGCAAGTGACGAGTATGAAAAGCTCGGCGAGCATTACTCGGCTCGACTCGGACGAGTAATTTTGCAAAAAAATCAGGCTCGTTACTCGGCCCCCAACGAGCATTTCGAACGAGTCGAGCAAAAACCCTACACTCGTTGCCCATGTATACTCCCGCCTATCTTCTCCCCCTTATTCTCGTATTTCTATGCTCAACCCACTCCCCACCAGCTGGTGTGCATGAGGGAGGGAGTGGGGCACGGCACGTGCAACATGGCAGAGTATCGCGCGTTCATAGGGGGGGTGGAGCTGGCTCTGGCTCTCGGCATCACACGGCTGCATGTGCAAGGAGACTCCATGCTCGTGGTCATGCAGGTGGGATTGGTGGAATTGTACAGGTGGGATGGTTGGTAAGGTGTATGGCAATCTGCTAGTCACCTCGTAGCACCACGTGTAACACAGCGGAGAATTGGGCGTTCATAGGGGGATTGCAGCTGGCACTGGCTATTGGGATCACCCGGTTGCATATGCAGGGAGACTCTATGCTGGTGGTCACGCAGGTGAGATTGCTTGTATGGCAATTTAGTAGGCACCTCGTGCCTCAGCACAGCATGGCATCGCGCGCTCATAGGGGGTGTGGAGCTGGCTCTGGCTCTTGAGTCGACTCAAAATGTGGAGCTGGCTCTGGCTCTTGAGTCGACTCAAAATGTGGAGCTGGCTCTGGCTCTCGGGATCACGCGGCTGCATGTGTGTTTTGAGTTGACTCAAAACACTCTTGGGATCACGCGGCTGCACGTTCAAGGAGACTCCATGCTCGTGGTCATGCAGGTGGGTGGGTGGGTGGATGGGTGGTGACGTGAGGTGTAGGGCAATGCAACCATCTCCTCTTGGGATCACGGGGCTGCACGTTCAAGGAGACGCCATGCTCGTGGTCATGCAGGTGGGTGGGTGGGTGGATGGGTGGTGACGTGAGGTGTAGGGCAATGCAACCATCTCCTCTTGGGATCACGGGGCTGCACGTTCAAGGAGACGCCATGCTCGTGGTCATGCAGGTGGGTGGGTGGGTGGATGGGTGGTGACGTGAGGTGTAGGGCAATGCAACCATCTCCTCTTGGGATCACGGGGCTGCACGTTCAAGGAGACGCCATGCTCGTGGTCATGCAGGTGGGTGGGTGGAAGTGGGGGGAAGAAGTGGAAGGTGAATGCGGAGATGCTGAGGGAGCCATGCAAGCAAGCACATGCACAGAAACACTCTCTTCTTTGCATGGCTGAGGGAGCCACGCATGCATGCACACACAACTCAAGCTTGCTGAGGGAGGAATGCAAGCAAGCACATGCACAGAAACACGCATGCATGCATGTACACACCACTCAAGCTTGCTAAGTGTGCCACTCTTCTGGTCCACTGCCCTTCCACCCGCCACAGGTACAGAATAAGACTGCCACGAAGGTGAATGCGGAGGTGCTGGGGGAGGAGTGCAAGCAAGCACATGCAAAGACTGACACACATATCACACACACATGCCACACACACATGCCACGCACACATGCCACACACACATGCCACACACACATGCCACACACACATGCCACGCACACATGCCACACACACATGCCACACACACATACCACACACACATGCCACACACACATGCCACACACATGCCACACACACATGCCACACACACATGCCACGCACATGCCACACACACATGCCACACACACATGCCACGCACACATGCCACACACACATGCCACGCACACATGCCACACACACATGCCACACACACATACCACACACACATGCCACACACACATGCCACACACATGCCACACACACATGCCACACACACATGCCACACACATACATGATGCACACATACATGATGCACACATACATGATGCACACATTCATGATGCACACATACCACTCCTTCCCTCCTCATCGACACACCCGCAGGTGCAGAAGAAGTGGAAGGTGAATGCGGAGATGCTGAGGGGGGAGTGCAAGCAAGCACAGGAACTGGTGACTCGGTTCAAAGAAATCTCCATCCGCCACGTGCCCAGGGTAGGTGGGGAACAGAGAGGGCTGGAGAGAGTGAGGTGGGGAGGGTAGTGGGGTGGGGAGGGTAGTGGGGTGGGGAGGGTACGTGTGACAGCAGCACAGCAAGCAAGCACAGGAGCTGATATCTCGGTTCAAAGAGATTGCAATCCGCCACGTGCCCAGGGTGGGTGTCATGTAGTCTGTGTCATGTACTCTGTGTCATGTACTCTGTGTCATGTACATGTGTTACGTACGTTACACGTACTGTGTGCCATGGACTATGGTCTACGTATCACCTAGTCTGAGCATGTGTCACATCACGTACGTACCCCTCATCCTCTCTTATCGTCTCTCATCATCCCCTGCGACCCCTTTTCACCTCTCTTCACCCCTCACTACTCTGCACCACCCCTCATCACCGCTCACCACCCCCAGGAGTGCAACCAGCTGGCGGATCTCCTCTCCAACGAAGCAGTGCCTTTGAAAGGTCAGTCAACCAGAACCCGTGAATCCATTAATAGTAGTTTTAAAATCTCTCAAAAGCTTGTATAACACCCAGGCTTTGCAAAACCTAGAAGCTTGTAGCCGCTCAAACCCATCTCAGACCAAGCCAGCAATGGTACTCATGACACTTCTCTCAAACGGGAATCATATTAAGCCGTGCCTCCAGTGGGTCAGTCAGAACCCTGCAAGCCAGCAATGGTACTGTCTTCTCATGCCCATTCCTCTACATTCACAACCCACTTTCTTTCCTCCCGTGGCTCCAACCCTATTTCTCTCTCCCTCTCCATCCCTTTCTCCCCCCCTTGATTCGCTCCCTCTTTATTCCCAACCAGAGAACTAATGTGTGATCGTCCCCTCTACCTTCACTATCCTCTTCCTCCTCATCCTTCCGTCCCTCACCCCCCTCCACTTCTGATTTCTCTTCCTCCATCTCTCCTCCCACCCCTTCCCACCCCTATCCTCGTCTTTCCACCCCATTTCCCCTTGCATTACCCCCCATCCAGAGAACCAACGGGTGATCATCCCATCTACCTGCACAACCCGCTTCCTCCACGGCATCGCCAACAACACCAACCCCTCCCTCTCGTTACCCTACCCCAAGCCCACCCCTCAAATCACCCAAACCTCCCTCCTCTTTCCCTCCCCCCCCCTCTCCCCCCCTTTATTTCCCAACCAGAGAACCAACGGGTGATCATCCCCTCTACCTGCACAACCCGGTTTCTCCCTCTCCCCATTTCCACCCCCCTCTCCCCTCACTCCAATCCAGAGAATCAACGGGTAATAATTCCCTCCACCTGCACAACACGGTTTCTCCACGGCAGCAGCACCACCCCCTCCCCCTCCGTACCCTCCCCCAAGCCCATCCCCAGACGAGGCCGGCCGCCCAAAATCCGCTCCTCTAAAGCCTCCTGAGTCATGACCAACGCAGCGCTTCAAGCACACGTGACCTGCAGCTAGGTGTCAGACTTTGCAGCGTCAGATGCAGCCGTCTCACCAAATTCGTTCCTCCTGACCGCTTCAAGGAGACTCATGGCCATGGGTCGAACAAAATTGCTCCTAGACACGGCCAACCTCCGAAACTCCATGTCCGTAAGGTCTCCTAACACAACGCATCGCCTCCACATGAGCTGCGGCCTTTAGTGTGAATGATTGGCTGGATATCGCCCAGTGTCACACCTACAACTGCATGTGCTTGTGTTTTATAATATCAATATTCGAATGAAAAGTTAATGCACCGCAACAATTGTCTGCTTATCTTGGATTGACGAGAACAGAATTTGTCACAGCCAATGCTGCAAAATCCAGGTCCATGACAGTTGATACGCTTCGCTGGCAGTACACATCAGTAGGGTGGTGGTGACACTTAGCCAAGACTCTAATATGAGTAGGAGAGTGTTTCATGCAAGACTGGGTCAGTGACATCAATACATAATAGTGTGAGTAAATATTTGTAATAGTGTGACCCTAGAATAGTTCATGCAGATTCGAAATGTACCGTACCACGCCGTATTCAGCTGTTCACCCCAGCATTTGGGTTGGAACTGCAAGCAGTTTTTCCAGGGGGTAAACAATCTCCATTTGTCACATTCCGCACCTGTTCCAACCATTATACCGTAATTAGGCGCAGCGTGACGCTGTTGGCCCGTATCGCAGTCGCTCAGGCGGCAAATGCGCTTCGTTGCGGCGTTGCAATCACTCACGACCGCCGCGTGCCGCAACTGGCGCAATCCTAGTAATGGCTAAGACTAAGTACTACGCGGTTCGGAAGGGACACCAGCCAGGAATTTATCTGACGTGGCCGGAATGCCAAGGTAAGCAGCTGTAGTTGACTTCGACGTTGCGTTTCGTTAATTGAAGTATTTAATCTGCAATACACCACACCAACATGCCTTCTCCCTGCATTGTCATCTAAATCTCTGAGCTAATCTCTATCCAGGGCGTAAAATTACTGTACGACTCATGCTGTTCACTTCAATTTCTCATGCTATAATACGGTTCTCTCGCATCGCCCTAATCTAGGCGAGGTGACAACAATGCAGATTCCCTTTTTCCCTTCATGCATATACATACAGTCCAGTCCAGTCCACCATTTCGAATACACAATGTCCTCGTTATAATCTCTCCCAGGTGAATAATTTCAAAGGCAACGAGTACAAGAGCTTTAAGACGCTGGATCAAGCCACCTCCTACCTCGCCTTGGCTAACATATTCGTCTCTTCGCCCTTCACGCAAGCCGCGGAGGCTCCAAGCCACGCCTTTATGCCTGCTGCTGCCGCTACTGCTGACGCGCATACAAGTGCTGCTATTACTCTTTTTGCTGTGGCAACCGGGGAATACGATGGTGTTGGTGAATGCTCAAGTGCCTAGTTGTTTGTTACTACTAGTAACTCCTATCTCTTCTGAGAGGTGCAACATGATTTGCTGCGGCTGGTGCCAGCATTCCCAGTAACGGATCTGGTGACCTGGTTTAATAACCGTTTCTTTAGTTCGATATTGCAATCTGCTTCACGGTTTCAGTACTTTCAAGTTTCCACTGGCATATTATATACACAACAACACAGCCCTTCCCCCCCATCCCTACTCACTTCCACTTACTACCTTCCTCTCTCCTCTCGTTGTCCTACTCTCCCTCTCCCACTCACTCGAGCGCTTTCGTTTCTCTCCTTTCCCTTCTTCCTCCCTCTCTCTCCACCCCACCCTAAGAAGGTTTCTGAAAACACCCGCCCACTTTTCCTTACCCTCCCACCTCTCCTTTTCCCCTCCCTTTCTACTGGAGCATATGCAGAGAGCCAGGGGGGAAGGGGGTGGTCTGCTGCAGGAGGGAGGGATGGGGAGGAGGGAGTGGGTGTGGTGAGGGAGGGGGGAGTGAGAGTAGTGGGAAAGCAGGGGGCTGTGAGGATGAGGAGAGGGGAGGACATGCGACCAGTCGTAGCATCACTTGGGCTTCAGATTGACCCTCGGGTGAGTCTCAGGTGGATTCTCAGGTGAGTTTGCTCAGTCATTTAAAGCAACCCTTCAGTCAACTCAAACGTGGGTTGGAAGCGAGAAGAGGGGAGGACATGCCGCCACACACACACGTAGAGGCCCTCCAAACGCGCTCTACTACTGCATGGATTCCGTTTGATGTTGCTTCCCACCCCACCATGGAATTGGCTGGCACCTTTTGAGTCGACTCAAAAGTCAACTCCAAACGCGCTCCACTACTGCATGGATTTCGTTTGATGTTGCTTCCCACCATGGACTTCGCTGGCACCTCCAAACGCAATATCTTCCAGACACGCTCTACCGCATGCATGGACTTGAAGAAATGGCACTGCAAGAAATGGCACTGCAAGAAATGGTACTGCAAGAAATGGTACTGCAAGAAATGGCACTGCAAGAAATGGTACTGCAAGAAATGGCACTGCAAGAAATGGCACTGCAAGAAATGGCACTGCAAGAAATGGCACTGCAAGAAATGGCACTGCAAGTAATGGCACTGCAAGAAATGGCACTGCAAGAAATGGCACTGCAAGAAATGGCACTGCAAGAAATGGCACTGCAAGAAATGGCACTGCAAGAAATGGCACTGCAAGAAATGGCACTGCAAGAAATGGCACTGCAAGAAATGGCACTGCAAGAAATGGCACTGCAAGAAATGGCACTGCAAGAAATGGCACTGCAAGAAATGGCACTGCAAGAAATGGCACTGCAAGAAATGGCACTGCAAGAAATGGCACTGCAAGAAATGGCACTGCAAGAAATGGCACTGCAAGAAATGGCACTGCAAGAAATGGCACTGCAAGAAATGGCACTGCAAGAAATGGCACTGCAAGAAATGGCACTGCAAGAAATGGCACTGCAAGAAATGGCACTGCAAGAAATGGCACTGCAAGAAATGGCACTGCAAGAAATGGCACTGCAAGAAATGGCACTGCAAGAAATGGCACTGCAAGAAATGGTACTGCAAGAAATGGTACTGCAAGAAATGGCACTGCAAGAAATGGCACTGCAAGAAATGGCACTGCAAGAAATGGTACTGCAAGAAATGGCACTGCAAGAAATGGCACTGCAAGAAATGGCACTGCAAGAAATGGCACTGCAAGAAATGGCACTGCAAGTAATGGCACTGCAAGAAATGGCACTGCAAGAAATGGCACTGCAAGAAATGGCACTGCAAGAAATGGCACTGCAAGAAATGGCACTGCAAGAAATGGCACTGCAAGAAATGGCACTGCAAGAAATGGCACTGCAAGAAATGGCACTGCAAGAAATGGCACTGCAAGAAATGGCACTGCAAGAAATGGCACTGCAAGAAATGGCACTGCAAGAAATGGCACTGCAAGAAATGGCACTGCAAGAAATGGCACTGCAAGAAATGGCACTGCAAGAAATGGCACTGCAAGAAATGGCACTGCAAGAAATGGCACTGCAAGAAATGGCACTGCAAGAAATGGCACTGCAAGAAATGGCACTGCAAGAAATGGCACTGCAAGAAATGGCACTGCAAGAAATGGCACTGCAAGAAATGGCACTGCAAGAAATGGCACTGCAAGAAATGGCACTGCAAGAAATGGCACTGCAAGAAATGGCACTGCAAGAAATGGCACTGCAAGAAATGGCACTGCAAGAAATGGCACTGCAAGAAATGGCACTGCAAGAAATGGTACTGCAAGAAATGGTACTGCAAGAAATGGCACTGCAAGAAATGGCACTGCAAGAAATGGTACTGCAAGAAATGGCACTGCAAGAAATGGCACTGCAAGAAATGGCACTGCAAGAAATGGCACTGCAAGAAATGGCACTGCAAGAAATGGCACTGCAAGAAATGGTACTGCAAGAAATGGTACTGCAAGAAATGGTACTGCAAGAAATGGCACTGCAAGAAATGGTACTGCAAGAAATGGTACTGCAAGAAATGGCACTGCAAGAAATGGCACTGCAAGAAATGGCACTGCAAGAAATGGTACTGCAAGAAATGGTACTGCAAGAAATGGTACTGCAAGAAATGGTACTGCAAGAAATGGTACTGCAAGAAATGGTACTGCAAGAAATGGTACTGCAAGAAATGGTACTGCAAGAAATGGTACTGCAACTCCATGTTATAAGGGGAATGCCTGCCCCTGCTGGTCCCTCTTCCCTACTCATTCATTGATATTTGGACGCATATCAAAACAACACACAACATCTTCTTTTCCTCTCCTTGGGCTCACAACAATCTGCCTTTCATCCCCCCGGGCTCTCAACTGCATGGAGTTTGATGGAGCTTCCAAGGGCAACCCATGTCTGTCCCCAAATGCTCTGCTCACCTCATTCGCTCCCTTCTGCTGCTGTCATCGTCCCCCCACCCACACCAGGCGCTCTATCGCATGGGGTTTGACGGAGCCGCCAAGGGCAACCGACCCATTGCCATCCATCCCATGTGCTGCCTGCTTAATGTCCTGCTCCCCTCAACGCACACCTCACCCCCTCCTCCAACTCACATCCCCCCAGGCGCTCTATCGCATGGGGTTTGACGGAGCCGCCAAGGGCAACCGACCCATTGCCATCCCATGTGCTGCCTGCTTATTGTCCTGCTCCCCTCAACGCACACCTCACCCCCTCCTCCAACTCACATCCCCCCAGGCGCTCTACCGCATGGGGTTTGACGGAGCCGCCAAGGGCAACCGACCCATTGCCATCCCATGTGCTGCCTGCTTAATGTCCTGCTCCCCTCAACGCACACCTCACCCCCTCCTCCAACTCACATCCCCCCAGGCGCTCTACCGCATGGGGTTTGACGGAGCCGCCAAGGGCAACCGACCCATTGCCATCCCATGTGCTGCCTGCTTAATGTCCTGCTCCCCTCAACGCACACCTCACCCCCTCCTCCAACTCACATCCCCCCAGGCGCTCTACCGCATGGGGTTTGACGGCGCCTCCAAGGGCAACCCAGGCCGGGCAGAGGCGGGGTCTGTGCTGTGGGAAGAGCGTGGCAACGAGGTGAGGCAGGGGTTGGGGAAGGAGGAAGGGTGCGCTTTGGGGAGGGCTAGGCGTGCTTCTGTGTGGGAAGGGAAACTTCGGGCGGGCACTGGGCAGGGGCGGGGTCTGTGCTGTGGGACGAGCGTGGCAACGAGGTGAGGCAGGGGTTGGGGAAGGAGGAAGGGTGCGCTTTGGGGAGGGCTAGGCGTGCTTCTGTGTGGGAAGGGAAACTTCGGGCGGGCAGGGGCGGGGTCTGTGTTGTGGGACGAACATGGCAACGAGGTGAGAGACTCCGGGCTTTGGTTTGGGAAAGATGCCATGTGGAACGATTTTTTAGTTGACTCAAATCGACTTACTACATGTGGAACGAGCGAGGGAATGAGGTGAGACGTTCTTTAGAGTGTGGGTGGGACCCCCCACCTTCCTTTTTGCAATTTCAACCCGTTTTCCCTCCTATACCTCCTTTCCCCCCGAGCCCCCCCTGTCTACACCACACCACCCACCAGGTGGTGTGCATGAGGGAGGGAGTGGGGCACGGCACGTGCAACATGGCAGAGTATCGCGCGTTCATAGGGGGGTTGGAACTGGCACTCGCACTCGGCATCACCCGGGTGCACGTTCAAGGAGACTCCATGCTCGTGGTCATGCAGGTGGGTGGGTGAGGATGGTGGGATCAAAAACAATTCCATGCTCGTCGCCTTGGCATGTTTCCCCCTCCTTCCCTTCGCCACAACTTTTCTCTTCTGGTTCCCAGTCTTTCTGTCTTAATCAATCGCACCGCCCTTGAGTCGACTAAAAACCGCCGACATCACCACTTCTTCTTCATCCTATTCTTTGGTGTCTTCAGTTGCTGGTGGTGTCACGTTTCACAATGTGGTGTCGTTAGGCTTGCGACTTTTGAGTCGATTCAAAAGTCACCTCAATATCACCCCATTCTCCTTCATCCTGCTCTTCGTTGGCTTCGGCTGCTGCTGACGGTCACGTTTCACAAAATGGTCTCGTTAAGCATGCCCGCAGCTATGTCTGCAGGAATCTGAGTGTGTTTTTCCTGCTTCTTGTTAAACGCAACCCTCGAACGGCGACTGAATGCATGTCATCCAAGTGGTATGTATCATGGTCTGAGAATTCTCAAAAGTCACGTTCAGTCTATTGCGATTACGGTGTCGCAGAGATGCTGAGGGAGCCGTGTAAGCAAGGATATGCACACAGACACATGCAAAGACACACACATGCACGCACACAGGCCACTCCCCGTTTCCCCACACCCCCGCAGGTGCAGAACAAATGGAAAGTGAATGTGGAGATGTTAAGAGAGCCGTGCAGGCAAGCACATGGACCCATTCGAGCCTCGCACGTGCCACTCCCCCCTCTACTTACATCCCCACAGGTGCAGAACAAGTGGAAGGTGAATGCAGAGATGCTAGGGGGCCGTGCAAGCAAGCACATGCACTCAGGGGCCCACTCACACAAACAGACGTACACTCAGATACATGCACACATGCCACTCCCTACCTGAAAACCTAACAGGTGCAGAACAAGTGGAAGGTGAATGCAGAGATGCTGTGGGAGCCGTGCAGGCAAGCACAGCAGCTGGTGTGCCGGTTCAGAGAGATTGCCATCCGCCACGTGCCCAGGGTATGTGTCACTTACGTGTCATGCACCATGTGTCACACGCCTAGGATTTGTGTTAGTGCTAGGGGATGCAGCAGCAGGTCCCCAAGCAAGCACAGCAGCTGGTGTGCCAGTTCAGAGAAATCGCGACGTGCCCAGGGTAGGTGGTACTAGGGAGTCAGTGTGGTGGAGGCAATTGTTGCTAGGTTGAGTAGGGCACCGCAAGCAAGCACAGCAGCTGGTGTGCCAGTTCAACGTGATTGCCATCCGCCACGTGCCCAGGGTAGGTGGTGGTGAAGAGGGAGGCTTGAGAAAATTGGTGAAAGTGATGCATATGGTGATGTGTGGAGAGAGTAGGTCGTGACTCATGAGTGTGAGGGTTCACACACTCAAGTTCTCGCTCATTTAACATCTCTTTTTCTTTGCTGAGTGAGGCATGTAGTGGCCATCCGTTGAGATGCATGCAAGCTGCTGTGCCGGTTGAATGAAATTGCAGCAAGGCACAGTCATGCCAACACAGCAAGCACATACTGTGACTGTTTTTTGAGGCGCCAAAAAAACCACCTCAACTGCACGCGGATTTTTGAAGCGTCTAAAAAATCAGCAGCAAGGCACAGTCGTATCAACACAGCATGCACATACTGTGACCATAGTGCAAGGGCGACAGCATTTGTTTATAGTGCTGTTTGGTTGGTAGCTTTTTCAGTGCTGTTTGGATGGTAGTTTTTTCAGTGCTGGACATTCTTGGATTGTGCCATGCTCGTGCACACGTGCTCCGTTCTTTGATTGTGCCATGCTCGTGCACACGTGCTCCGTTCTTTGATTGTGCCATGCTCGTGCACACGTGCTCCGTTCTTTGATTGTGCCATGCTCGTGCACACGTGCTCCGTTCTTTGATTGTGCCATGCTCGTGCACACGTGCTCCGTTCTTTGATTGTGCCATGCTCGTGCACACGTGCTCCGTTCTTTGATTGTGCCATGCTCGTGCACACGTGCTCCGTTCTTTGATTGTGCCATGCTCGTGCACACGTGCTCCGTTCTTTGATTGTGCCATGCTCGTGCACACGTGCTCCGTTCTTTGATTGTGCCATGCTCGTGCACACGTGCTCCGTTCTTTGATTGTGCCATGCTCGTGCACACGTGCTCCGTTCTTTGATTGTGCCATGCTCGTGCACACGTGCTCCGTTCTTTGATTGTGCCATGCTCGTGCACACGTGCTCCGTTCTTTGATTGTGCCATGCTCGTGCACACGTGCTCCGTTCTTTGATTGTGCCATGCTCGTGCACACGTGCTCCGTTCTTTGATTGTGCCATGCTCGTGCACACGTGCTCCGTTCTTTGATTGTGCCATGCTCGTGCACACGTGCTCCGTTCTTTGATTGTGCCATGCTCGTGCACACGTGCTCCGTTCTTTGATTGTGCCATGCTCGTGCACACGTGCTCCGTTCTTTGATTGTGCCATGCTCGTGCACACGTGCTCCGTTCTTTGATTGTGCCATGCTCGTGCACACGTGCTCCGTTCTTTGATTGTGCCATGCTCGTGCACACGTGCTCCGTTCTTTGATTGTGCCATGCTCGTGCACACGTGCTCCGTTCTTTGATTGTGCCATGCTCGTGCACACGTGCTCCGTTCTTTGATTGTGCCATGCTCGTGCACACGTGCTCCGTTCTTTGATTGTGCCATGCTCGTGCACACGTGCTCCGTTCTTTGATTGTGCCATGCTCGTGCACACGTGCTCCGTTCTTTGATTGTGCCATGCTCGTGCACACGTGCTCCGTTCTTTGATTGTGCCATGCTCGTGCACACGTGCTCCGTTCTTTGATTGTGCCATGCTCGTGCACACGTGCTCCGTTCTTTGATTGTGCCATGCTCGTGCACACGTGCTCCGTTCTTTGATTGTGCCATGCTCGTGCACACGTGCTCCGTTCTTTGATTGTGCCATGCTCGTGCACACGTGCTCCGTTCTTTGATTGTGCCATGCTCGTGCACACGTGCTCCGTTCTTTGATTGTGCCATGCTCGTGCACACGTGCTCCGTTCTTTGATTGTGCCATGCTCGTGCACACGTGCTCCGTTCTTTGATTGTGCCATGCTCGTGCACACGTGCTCCGTTCTTTGATTGTGCCATGCTCGTGCACACGTGCTCCGTTCTTTGATTGTGCCATGCTCGTGCACACGTGCTCCGTTCTTTGATTGTGCCATGCTCGTGCACACGTGCTCCGTTCTTTGATTGTGCCATGCTCGTGCACACGTGCTCCGTTCTTTGATTGTGCCATGCTCGTGCACACGTGCTCCGTTCTTTGATTGTGCCATGCTCGTGCACACGTGCTCCGTTCTTTGATTGTGCCATGCTCGTGCACACGTGCTCCGTTCTTTGATTGTGCCATGCTCGTGCACACGTGCTCCGTTCTTTGATTGTGCCATGCTCGTGCACACGTGCTCCGTTCTTTGATTGTGCCATGCTCGTGCACACGTGCTCCGTTCTTTGATTGTGCCATGCTCGTGCACACGTGCTCCGTTCTTTGATTGTGCCATGCTCGTGCACACGTGCTCCGTTCTTTGATTGTGCCATGCTCGTGCACACGTGCTCCGTTCTTTGATTGTGCCATGCTCGTGCACACGTGCTCCGTTCTTTGATTGTGCCATGCTCGTGCACACGTGCTCCGTTCTTTGATTGTGCCATGCTCGTGCACACGTGCTCCGTTCTTTGATTGTGCCATGCTCGTGCACACGTGCTCCGTTCTTTGATTGTGCCATGCTCGTGCACACGTGCTCCGTTCTTTGATTGTGCCATGCTCGTGCACACGTGCTCCGTTCTTTGATTGTGCCATGCTCGTGCACACGTGCTCCGTTCTTTGATTGTGCCATGCTCGTGCACACGTGCTCCGTTCTTTGATTGTGCCATGCTCGTGCACACGTGCTCCGTTCTTTGATTGTGCCATGCTCGTGCACACGTGCTCCGTTCTTTGATTGTGCCATGCTCGTGCACACGTGCTCCGTTCTTTGATTGTGCCATGCTCGTGCACACGTGCTCCGTTCTTTGATTGTGCCATGCTCGTGCACACGTGCTCCGTTCTTTGATTGTGCCATGCTCGTGCACACGTGCTCCGTTCTTTGATTGTGCCATGCTCGTGCACACGTGCTCCGTTCTTTGATTGTGCCATGCTCGTGCACACGTGCTCCGTTCTTTGATTGTGCCATGCTCGTGCACACGTGCTCCGTTCTTTGATTGTGCCATGCTCGTGCACACGTGCTCCGTTCTTTGATTGTGCCATGCTCGTGCACACGTGCTCCGTTCTTTGATTGTGCCATGCTCGTGCACACGTGCTCCGTTCTTTGATTGTGCCATGCTCGTGCACACGTGCTCCGTTCTTTGATTGTGCCATGCTCGTGCACACGTGCTCCGTTCTTTGATTGTGCCATGCTCGTGCACACGTGCTCCGTTCTTTGATTGTGCCATGCTCGTGCACACGTGCTCCGTTCTTTGATTGTGCCATGCTCGTGCACACGTGCTCCGTTCTTTGATTGTGCCATGCTCGTGCACACGTGCTCCGTTCTTTGATTGTGCCATGCTCGTGCACACGTGCTCCGTTCTTTGATTGTGCCATGCTCGTGCACACGTGCTCCGTTCTTTGATTGTGCCATGCTCGTGCACACGTGCTCCGTTCTTTGATTGTGCCATGCTCGTGCACACGTGCTCCGTTCTTTGATTGTGCCATGCTCGTGCACACGTGCTCCGTTCTTTGATTGTGCCATGCTCGTGCACACGTGCTCCGTTCTTTGATTGTGCCATGCTCGTGCACACGTGCTCCGTTCTTTGATTGTGCCATGCTCGTGCACACGTGCTCCGTTCTTTGATTGTGCCATGCTCGTGCACACGTGCTCCGTTCTTTGATTGTGCCATGCTCGTGCACACGTGCTCCGTTCTTTGATTGTGCCATGCTCGTGCACACGTGCTCCGTTCTTTGATTGTGCCATGCTCGTGCACACGTGCTCCGTTCTTTGATTGTGCCATGCTCGTGCACACGTGCTCCGTTCTTTGATTGTGCCATGCTCGTGCACACGTGCTCCGTTCTTTGATTGTGCCATGCTCGTGCACACGTGCTCCGTTCTTTGATTGTGCCATGCTCGTGCACACGTGCTCCGTTCTTTGATTGTGCCATGCTCGTGCACACGTGCTCCGTTCTTTGATTGTGCCATGCTCGTGCACACGTGCTCCGTTCTTTGATTGTGCCATGCTCGTGCACACGTGCTCCGTTCTTTGATTGTGCCATGCTCGTGCACACGTGCTCCGTTCTTTGATTGTGCCATGCTCGTGCACACGTGCTCCGTTCTTTGATTGTGCCATGCTCGTGCACACGTGCTCCGTTCTTTGATTGTGCCATGCTCGTGCACACGTGCTCCGTTCTTTGATTGTGCCATGCTCGTGCACACGTGCTCCGTTCTTTGATTGTGCCATGCTCGTGCACACGTGCTCCGTTCTTTGATTGTGCCATGCTCGTGCACACGTGCTCCGTTCTTTGATTGTGCCATGCTCGTGCACACGTGCTCCGTTCTTTGATTGTGCCATGCTCGTGCACACGTGCTCCGTTCTTTGATTGTGCCATGCTCGTGCACACGTGCTCCGTTCTTTGATTGTGCCATGCTCGTGCACACGTGCTCCGTTCTTTGATTGTGCCATGCTCGTGCACACGTGCTCCGTTCTTTGATTGTGCCATGCTCGTGCACACGTGCTCCGTTCTTTGATTGTGCCATGCTCGTGCACACGTGCTCCGTTCTTTGATTGTGCCATGCTCGTGCACACGTGCTCCGTTCTTTGATTGTGCCATGCTCGTGCACACGTGCTCCGTTCTTTGATTGTGCCATGCTCGTGCACACGTGCTCCGTTCTTTGATTGTGCCATGCTCGTGCACACGTGCTCCGTTCTTTGATTGTGCCATGCTCGTGCACACGTGCTCCGTTCTTTGATTGTGCCATGCTCGTGCACACGTGCTCCGTTCTTTGATTGTGCCATGCTCGTGCACA